AGTATATTGTCATGCCAATTATCGGATTCAAATTACTGTCACTTATCAAAAATGAGATGCGTTAGCAACATTAGTATGATCAATTATATACGAATGGCTTGAATCAGTAAACAAGGAAGTTTTCGAACTTCCATGAGAAAGTCTTAATAATATACCAAGTTGATATGTTTAATATAATGTCGTTACTTATATATCCTAGCTTTGGTCCAAGACTTACGTTTAATTACTATAAAAACTTCCTGAAAACCTCTGCAAAAATTAAATGATCATCAATCTGGGGATGATATTTTTTGCACTGTGAATCCTAATATTTATGAAAAAGCCACTGAAGAAAGCCATTTTCTAACTATTTTCCGACACGCCCATCGGTCAAGAAATCTTTATCTTTGAATGCCTACGGTGAAGATGAAACCTTTTCTACGCGAACGGCATGTTAGTGTAGAGAAGCGAGTCGTCAATGAGCGTCCTTTCACATGGCAATCTCCGACAGCCTCTGATTGATACGCCGAGATGGTACGGAGCTATGTCGGAGATTTACGATGGTATCGCAAAGCAATCGGAGCACACGATTCTAACTTCGCGATAACTGAACGAATTGAGAAAGGAGTGCCAGTCGTCATAATCAATCACTAATGAGCTAAAATTCCGTTCATGATCGACATAACCGACTAATGTTTATGGTGAACTTGTACAGGATTCAGTTACAGTTAATGTTGAAACGCAGTTAAACTGAGACGCAGCGCGTGAAGGTATATAATTGCCCACGTTTGAACCAGTTCACCCTGTTTCTGAGTCAAGTCTATTATGGAGACTGTTAACGAGATTTACCGAGTGGAACGAAGACTTTCCGGAACAGACTAAAATACACCATATTGTTTCAGTTCCTCTTACTGTCTCCCATAAATCGTGAAATAAAATGGCACTTTCACAACCCTGTGCAGTAAAAATGATTAGTGGTACCAAAGACGTATATACGTCTTTGGTGGTACTTATTTTAAAACTGTTGTAACATTCGTGCACTTCCATCGGTACTTTCTGAAACCCCTGGTCTGGCACCTATACTACACCTATAAGGCGACTGAAATGGCCGTGAGGAGGATGTAGATGAACTTAGCTTCGTAATGAGTGTATGGGTAACATGTGTCAATAGCGAGCTGTCTGGGAGTTTACGAGCTGGTGGGGCTTTACACCACGAGACCGAAGACAAATTGTTACGAATGTATCACTACGCGTTCACAAGTTACAACGAGCTACTTGGATGAACTATTTCGGTGTAAGAATCAGATCCTGCGGACGCCAGCGGACTCACAAGCAATTGTGACGTCACAAGCACGTGACATGTTTATACAGGTCGGCGACTGACCAATCACACATTTCACATAGAAGATAACTTTGATCCAGAGGATCAACGCGACGTAAAGAAATTTTGTAGCATACCTACCTATTGATACGGGTGCCTATTCTGTCATAAAACACATATGTTACAATGTCATATCAATTTGCAGTTGGTACCTTCAGAATGAGGAATGAGAATAAGGCACATTTCCGTTTAAATATTTATGTCATATAAAAATAGAAAACAAACATGATATGAAAACAAAACTTATAATATTTATTTTGAAATAATGATTACCTGAAACATTTGTTATTGTTTTATGAGGAACAAGGGGTATTAAGCTGAAACAATCATGTGGAATACATGACACTGTTGACATTGATATATCCGGAAGACCTATTCTAACCCGGATCATTTCGTGTGGCGATATGCGAGGGCCTGTCCCCGTCCCTCTCAACACGCAACACGGAAATGTGTCAACGTTTCACCGCAACGAAATGTTGTGCGGGGAAATAGGCTGAATAGAGCTAGACTGATATACCCTGACCTTCGCCTCCTAGAGGCCGTAGTTGAGAAGAGCAAGCGCTCTACGGCAAGCAAACCAGTAAAGGACAGAGCGTGCCCCCCTCTGATGATTGTACCCGAATAGTACAAAAGTGTTTAGGGTAATAATTTACAATTAGGAGTGTTTTAAGATGACATTTTCATGATTATTTATGTATTTTGTATGTACGCATATCATTATACATATGTGAAACAAAGATAAGGTTTCTTTGGAATGTTTGTTTACATCTTTCCAAGTATTACTCATCCCCATGTACCTTTCTCACACCAAAAACAAACCATAGGTAAATGCGGATTACGCTTGTTCGTATGTTGGTTAACGCCGCGCTCAGCGATATGCCAGCTGTATGAGGGCGGTCTGTAATTAAATCGGATCTAGAACAGAAAATCCAGTGATTGAAATCATGAGCATCTATATACGCAATGTCGATACGACGTCACGCTTCAACCAAGTCAGGACCACCTGATCCCGTCGGTCTTACGACAAGCATGGGTTGCTCAAGATCAATTCTAACCCAAATGTTAACGGGTATTAATGCACCCGGAGAAGATCCAGAAGAGGCTACTATGCCTGTCGTAAGAGGCGACTGCAGCGTCGGGTAGTCAGGCTGGTTGGTGCATGTCATCGTATATCCCAAAAGCGTAGGTCGATGATCATGATATCAATCACTGGGTTTTCTTGCCTAAACTCGATTATTTACAGACCGCTGTCATATAGTTGGAATATTGCGGCGTTAAACAACAAACAAACGGGAATGCATGTAGATAAGGGGCACCCTGGAATACCATGAAGGTTAATGGAAGTCACCCTAAAGGATATATACATTCACAAACATAAAACGCTTTTAAAATTCAGGATGCCTCTTTAAACCTATAGGTCATGTAACAGTGCGTAGTTGCACACGAACATCCTCGATCATACTCGTCATGAATGTCACTGAGCGATAGCAGATCAAACATCCATGGATGTGCCGCTCTTGAGACGGTCCCGTTAGGTAATATGACCTCTAGTCTTCCCCTTTCAACAAAGTATACCGTTTTCAGGGGAGAGAGATCTGCACTTGATGAACGCGAGAATCATGAAAACCAATCTGTTGATTTCTTTAAAACGCCAAGGCGTGCCTTTTCCATTTAGAATCATAGCATGACTTGCCTGGCGAAGACTAAATTTGTATACACTTCAATCTGAATGTTAAAAGTGTTCACCTCATCGAGAAAAGGAGTGATGCCAATTGAGGTGATATTCATTAATGGCTGTGAATTATCCAATCCCGTTGAAATCAAGTTCATCAAATGCCGCGTGACACATTTGTTGTTGATCTAGCACTTTTTGGTCCAGATACCGTTTGTGTTCTTCATATATACTACTCAAAAAAAGTTAAAGAGCATCCGACGTTTCAGTAATTATGATTACATTTAATCTGTCATGACAGATTAACTAAAGTCATGTGAAAAAGTCGGAGTTTCTTTAACTTCTTTTGAGTAGTATCGTCTGTAACATGTTGATTTCAATTTCAATTTCGGGGAAAACTGTTCCCTTTTTCGGTCCCTGTGAGAAAGATTAGCAAGAAAGGAAATAAAGTCATTTGTTGAAAAGAATGCACTTAGGATACCCAACATTTAATATATAAAAGCAAAGTTATCCACGACATTTATTAATGCTGTACTGTACTGAGTGATGAATGACACCAAAGGGCCAATAATATCAGATGACACGGAGCGGTGCTCATGCTATCGACCAGTGGCTGCGGTGAGATGACTGCACATGAAAGTTGCTGACAACCACAACATTCTCTCAATCACTTCTAACCTAGCTAATACTGTATTGTAAACATGTTATTACGGACATTAACTCCAAGAGGACAATGAAAATCCGATGGATATAGGTATACTAGTATATTATGTATATCATCGTTTTTTCAAAATGTACTCCATGGGGTGAGGTGAAGACGCATTACCAAGCCACTCAGCGGAAGAAACGATAAGTGGACTAAGATCGCGGCAAAAAAGTATCGGAAATTAAAGGCGCTGCCATGGTATGCCAAAGCTAGAAGCCCAGCTTGTTTTTCTAGCTACAGTATATATCCAAACGTGCTGTCACGCGATCTCTGTGTTATTTACGCCACGGCCAAATATCCCATTCTGCAAGAATGCACTGATATACGAAGTCCGTTTGATCAAATGACAATATTTCGCGGGGCATTAGCCTTTAGTCATGTTTTCTGTTCCAAATCGGCTTTATTTACGCAATAAATCTTTACTAAGAAAATAAAGATAAAATACTTAATTACTTTACCATCCTGTTACATAACGCTGTGCTTGTATCGTCCACAGCTTCCGATTTAATTGGATGCTGTTATCTATTCTACAAAGTGTGTGAAGGTACGCTTAGCAAATAAATTTCTGTGGCGAATAATATCAGTCTCGAGAACGTTAAAGAGGCCATTACTGGCAACATGTTATCTGTCGAGTGAGGCTCACAGCGGTGGCACCACGGCAGCGTTCACACGCACGTGCACTCGTGGTCCACGAACACCGTTATGCAGCCCCATTGCGCTGATCAACATGCTCCTGTTGTAAGACTTTGATTAAAGTTGTTTATTTTACTTCCTGCATGCACGTGCAACACGTGTTTCCGGTTTTCAGCCGAAATTGCATTTTTGTTGCTTGTTTCTGATGAGAAACCTAAATTAACGACATTTGAAGTTTATTTATAGCTGCTATGGTTATCTGTGGGGATTGTGTTCATTTATGTGTTTGTTTGTGTTGATGTTTAAGGGCGTTGATGAGTGATGCGTTATTTTCCAAGAAATTAACACTAAAGGAAATGAGCAGATAAATACTCTTCCAATCCCTCCTTCAAACACTCAGACGGAAACTTTTGAGAAAATGAGTCTCGGCAATATAAATAGAATCGGTCATTTCACGCCCCATATATAAAGTCAATATGAATATGTATTTCGGGCATATATGATGTACAGAGAGGCTACTTAAAGATGGTTAACAAATCAGCTGTTTATCTCATCAAGTGTCGAGGTTAGATTGGGCCACAGGTTATCATGGCGTTCATGGAAATAATACATCGTCGATGATGTTGCAGAAATCTGTGTGTTCTGCTGTCGTTCCTGCTGCCGCTGGCTGTGTCCAGTGAGAAGATTGGGCTGGGGTCATTCCGAGACCAGATCCTTGACCAGCACAATGAGTACCGACGGGAGGAGCAGGCGTCCAACATGTGCCTCATGGTCAGTCCGACTTCCGGTCCTGAATCAAGTCCAAAATATAAACAATATATGTAAATGGGGTAACATCAGATGTGTTTCGTAGCTTCAAAACAATATTGACAATATATGCTTCGTGGCTTTGAAATAGTTACACCAGAGACCGTATTTTATGGATGCATGCATCCGTCACCACGTCCACATCAAACATCACATACATCCGTCACCACGTCCACATCAAACATCACATACATCCATCACCCCGTCCACATCAAATATCACATACATCCGTCACCACCTCCACATCAAACATCACATATATCCGTCACCCCGTCCACATCAAACATCATATACATCCGTCACCACGTCCACATCAAATATCACATACATCCATCACCCCGTCCACATCAAGCATCACATACATCCGTCACCACATCCACATCATACATCACATACATCCGTCACCACCTCCACATCAAACATCACATATATCCGTCGACCCGTCCACATCAAACATCATATACATCCGTCACCACCTCCACATCAAACATCACATACATCCATCACCACGTCCACATCAAATATCACATACATCCGTCACCACGTCCACATCAAATATCAAATACATCCGTCACCACCTCCACATCAAATATCACATGCATCCATCACCACGTCCACATCAAATATCACATATATCCGTCACCACGTCCACATCAAGAATCACATACATCCGTCACCACGTCCACATCAAGCATCGCATACATCCGTCACCACGTCCACATCAAACATCGCATACATCCGTCACCACGTCCACATCAAGCATCGCATACATCCGTCACCACGTCCACATCAAACATCGCATACATCCGTCACCACGTCCACATCAAACATCGCATACATCCATCAACACGTCCACATCAAATATCACATACATCCATCACCACGTCCACATCAAACATCGCATACATCCATCAACACGTCCACATCAAATATCACATACATCCATCACCACGTCCACATCAAATATCACATACATCCGTCACCACGTCCACATCAAACATCGCATACATCCATCAACACGTCCACATCAAATATCACATACATCCATCACCACGTCCACATCAAATATCACATACATCCATCACCACGTCCACATCAAATATCACATACATCCGTCACCACGTCCACATCAAATATCACATACATCCATCAACACGTCCACATCAAATATCGCCTACATCCATCACCACATCCACATCAAATATCACATACATCCGTCACCACGTCCACATCAAATATCACATACATCCATCACCACATCCACATCAAATATCACATACATCCGTCACCACGTCCACATCAAATATCACATACATCCATCACCCCGTCCACATCAAAGATCACATACATCCGTCACCACATCAACATCAAATATCACATACATACATCAACACGTCCACATCAAGCATCACATACATCCGTCATCACGTCCACATCAAATATCGCATACATCCATCACCACGTCCACATCAAAAATCACATACATCCGTCACCACGTCCACATCAAGCATCACATACATCCGTCACCACGTACACATCAAATATCACATACATCCGTCACCACGTCCACATCAAGCATTACATACATCCGTCACCACGTCCACATCAAACATTACATACATCCGTCACCACGTACACATCAAACATTACATACATCCGTCACCACGTCCACATCAAATATCACATACATCCATCACCACGTCCACATCAAAGATCACATACATCCGTCACCACATCAACATCAAATATCACATACATACATCAACACGTCCACATCAAGCATCACATACATCCGTCATCACGTCCACATCAAATATCGCATACATCCATCACCACGTCCACATCAAAAATCACATACATCCGTCACCACGTCCACATCAAACATTACATACATCCGTCACCACGTACACATCAAATATCACATACATCCGTCACCACGTCCACATCAAGCATCACATACATCCGTCACCACATCCACATCAAATATCACATACAGCCGTCACCACGTCCACGTCAAAAATTACATACATCCGTCACCATGTCCACATCAAATATCGCATACATCCATCAACACGTCCACATCAAATATCACATACATCCATCACCACGTCCACATCAAAGATCACATACATCCATCACCACGTCCACATCAAAGATCACATACATCCGTCACCACATCAACATCAAATATCACATACATACATCAACACGTCCACATCAAGCATCACATACATCCGTCATCACGTCCACATCAAATATCGCATACATCCATCACCACGTCCACATCAAAAATCAAATACATCCGTCACCACGTCCACATCAAACATTACATACTTCCGTCACCACGTACACATCAAATATCACATACATCCGTCACCACGTCCACATCAAGCATCACATACATCCGTCACCACATCCACATCAAATATCACATACAGCCGTCACCACGTCCACATCAAAAATCACATACATCCGTCACCACGTCCACATCAAGCATCACATACATCCATCAACACGTCCACATCAAATATCGCATACATCCATCACCACATCCACATCAAATATCACATACATCCGTCACCACGTCCACATCAAATATCACATACATCCATCACCACATCCACATCAAATATCACATACATCCGTCACCACGTCCACATCAAATATCACATACATCCATCACCACGTCCACATCAAAGATCACATACATCCGTCACCACATCAACATCAAATATCACATACATACATCAACACGTCCACATCAAGCATCACATACATCCGTCATCACGTCCACATCAAATATCGCATACATCCATCACCACGTCCACATCAAAAATCACATACATCCGTCACCACGTCCACATCAAGCATCACATACATCCGTCACCACGTACACATCAAATATCACATACATCCGTCACCACGTCCACATCAAGCATTACATACATCCGTCACCACGTCCACATCAAATATCACATACATCCATCACCACATCCACATCAAATATCACATACATCCGTCACCACGTCCACATCAAATATCACATACATCCATCACCACGTCCACATCAAAGATCACATACATCCGTCACCACATCAACATCAAATATCACATACATACATCAACACGTCCACATCAAGCATCACATACATCCGTCATCACGTCCACATCAAATATCGCATACATCCATCACCACGTCCACATCAAAAATCACATACATCCGTCACCACGTCCACATCAAACATTACATACATCCGTCACCACGTACACATCAAATATCACATACATCCGTCACCACGTCCACATCAAGCATCACATACATCCGTCACCACATCCACATCAAATATCACATACAGCCGTCACCACGTCCACATCAAAAATCACATACATCCGTCACCATGTCCACATCAAATATCGCATACATCTGTCAACACATCCACATCAAATATCACAAACATCCGTCACCACATCCACATCAAATATCACAAACATCCGTCACCACGTCCACATCAAACATCACATACATCCGTCACCACGTCCACATCAAATATCGCATACATCCGTCACCACGTCCACATCAAATATCACATACATCCGTCACCACCTCCACATCAAATATCACATACATCCGTCACCACGTCCACATCAAATATCACATACATCCGCCACCACGTCCACATCAAACATCACATACATCCGCCACCACGTCCACATCAAATATCACATACATCCGTCACCACCTCCACATCAAATATCACATACATCCGTCACCACGTCCACATCAAATATCACATACATCCGCCACCACGTCCACATCAAACATCACATACATCCGTTACCCCGTCCACATCAAATATCACATACATCCGTTACCACATCCACATCAAATATCACATACATCCGTCACCACGTCCACATCAAACATCACATACATCCGTCACCACGTCCACATCAAACATCACATACATCCGTCACCACGTCCACATCAAATATCACATACATCCATCACCCCGTCCACATCAAGCATCACATACATCCATCACCCCGTCCACATCAAATATCACATACATCCGTCACCACGTCCACATCAAGCATCACATACATCCGTCACCACATCCACATCAAACATTACATACATCCGTCACCACGTCCACATCAAGCATCACATACATCCATCACCCCGTCCACATCAAGCATCACATACATCCGTCACCACATCAACATCAAATATCACATACATCCGTCACCACGTCCACATCATACATCACATACATCCGTCACCACGTCCACATCAAATATCACATACATCCGTCACCACGTCCACATCAAATATCACATACATCCGTCACCACGTCCACATCAAATATCACATACATCCATCACCACGTCCACATCAAACATCACATACATCCGTCACCACATCCACATCAAATATCACATACATCCGTCACCACGTCCACATCATACATCACATACATCCGTCACCACGTCCACATCAAATATCACATACATCCGTCACCACGTCCACATCAAATATCACATACATCCGTCACCACGTCCACATCAAACATCACATACATCCGTCACCACATCCACATCAAATATCACATACATCCATCACCCCGTCCACATCAAGCATCACATACATCCGTCACCACGTCCACATCAAATATCACATACATCCGTCACCCCGTCCACATCAAATATCACATACATCCATCACCCCGTCCACATCAAGCATCACATACATCCGTCACCACGTCCACATCAAATATCACATACATCCGTCACCACATCCACATCATACATCACATACATCCGTCACCACATCCACATCAAACATCACATACATCCGTTACCCCGTCCACATCAAATATCACATACATCCGTCACCACATCCACATCAAACATTACATACATCCGTCACCACGTCCACATCAAGCATCACATACATCCATCACCCC